AAAAAAAAAGTGGGGGGGGGGGGGGGAACCAACATTCCCCACCAAACCTGAAGAGAAAATCATATAGCTAACATGATCCTACCCACTTTTTGTCACTATCTTGTACACTCCAACCTTCCTCCACCCAGATGTTAAGTAGAGTCCCCCAACTGCCAAAAGGAGTTGGTTCAGCGCAAACATGGTAGATCTGATTCAGCCTAGCACAATCATGAAAACCCATCAAATTCAGACTAGCTTAAGCATTCTAAACCATTAGATTTAGCCTGTCAAAAGCATGATAAACCAGCAGATTTAATCTGACAGAAGCATTATAAATAATCAGTTGTAGTCTGGCCTAAGTAGGACAAGTAGTCCATGAAATCTTCTGGCATCATAACTGCACTTGCTTTTTTGCTCCCACATGACATTCAGTTATTTCTTTTGCAACTGACATGATAATCAATACATTCTGGAAAGCGTGAAATCCCAGGTTTAGGGACCAACCCTGAAGTCGGGGAATCTTGGCTAAGGGAGAGAACAACGAACTAATTTAGGGGTGAAGGACAAGTAGCACGAGACACACAGACCTCTCTGCCAGCACCTAACCTCTGCTTGCCTCGCAACACCTGCCAAATAGGGCAACTGATCCATTCTGCCTAATGGTAGGGCTGGCCCTACTGGAAAATGCATTAGTGGGTCAAGGTCGTCAGCACAGTGTTCACCCAGCGGCTGCTTATTGAACAAACCCATTTCTGGGTTCACACCTTAAATCACCCATCGACCAAAGGACCTGACCTCGTATAACAAACTAAGCCACAGGTAAGAAAAAAATGAACCCATGTTAAAACTAAGTTTAGCAAATTGTAATGAGCGCGCAACTAGGCTGGTCATGTTGCAGGAACACAGCCAAGTCTTTCTTCTTTTCCCTTCCAGCCGTCATCCAAGCCAAGCGTCTGAGAGCCACAGACATCTCCACAAGCAGCTTCCGCCTCACTTGGCCCCCGCTTCTGACTCGGGACACTGGCTACTACATTTTGGAGTATGCCCCGAGTGGAGAACCCAGGCGGAAAGTGATTAAACAACTCACTGGTGACCATACCAACATTGTGGTGGATCAACTAGCCTCACAAACCACGTACGAGGTGGCTCTCATTCCAGAGTCCAATGAGCGATACATCCCACCGCAAACCACCAGGGTCACCACTCTGGAAGGTGAGACCAGGGATGGGGAAAGTTTCTCAGAGTATCGGTGGATAATTTCTAAGAACATATATCTGACCACAATAACAGGCTAAGTCCCCACCTTACCATTGTTAATTATGATTGCTCTTAGTAATAGTGGTGGAGGAGGCATTACATTCTGATTATTTTGACTGGACGTGCCAAAAGTTGAATCTGGGACTTTCCACAGGCAAACCAGGCTAACATCTAGTGCTAAAGCTTCCCAATGGGAATGAACCCCTTATGGACTTTTTGCTGAAAACAACAACAACTGGGGATTTATGAGTTTGACAATTAGAAAGGGTAGCTTACTGAAGAAGGAGATTATGATGTAACCTGAGAGAGAGAGAGTAAAATATAATAAATGCATTTATAACCGCTGTCAGAAAAAGCCACTTCTTTATAATTTTTTCTTTTTCTTTTCTATTGCTTTTTCTATTTTCTTTCTTGCTTATTCACTAGGTTTTCTTATTTTCTCTGTTTCTTTTCTAATATTTGTATCACTTTTATCTTGTTAAAAAATTCTTCAATAACATTTATATTTTTAAAAAAAGGAAATGAATCTTTTGCAAACGAGGCTCTAGGTAAGCTTTTTAATGTGCCTTTTCTCTTCACAGAGGTGATCAGCCCTGCACAGATTCTTATCTCAGAGTCCAAACCCCACAGCATCCGGGTCAGCTGGTCTCCCATCCCGGAGAACGTGGCCACCTATCAAGTCATGTACGGTCCCCTGACCAGCAACTTGGTCCAGCTGCAAGAGGTGGACGGGAGGCTCAACAGCACCGTCCTGGAAGACCTAGCGGCCAATACCAGCTACCTGGTGACTGTATCTGCCATTTATAAGTCTGGTAGGGAGAAAGCCCTCTCAGCCAAAGCTTGCACTCAGGAAGGTGAGTGGGAAAGAAGGAAGGAAGGAGGGAGGGAGGGAAGAATTGGGCATGCTTAGGATTCCAAACAGCTGCATGAACAAGTCTGATGGATTGTCATCTCTTGACTAGGCACCGTTGGGTGTTACAACTGCTATCATCCTTTGCCTGGCTTTCTCCTAACGGGGCTGCCCAGTTGGCTCATACCAGCACCAAGGCCTGCATTCACTTTTCTTTTCCCCCTTCCTGCCTCCATCACGCATTGTCCTCATTCTTCTTTCTTCTTTTCTCCAACGGCCAGAATACTCCAAAATAAAGCACCTCCACTTTGAAGACCTGAGCGCCAGCTCCGTAAAGGCCTCCTGGGATCCAGCAGGAGGGGATGTGTTGGGCTACCGTGTTCGGTGCCGGCGGCAAGCTGGCCCCTCGACCCTCCTCAGCGTCTCGCCACAGATCCACAGTGTTTTGCTGTCAGATCTGACACCCGGCAGCACCAATAAAGTGTGTGTGAAGCCTGTGTACAAGAGCCTTCCTGGGAAAGCACTGTGTCGAACAATCTATCGGCAGCCTGGTAAGAGGCGCAGAAAAGAAAATAATTTGGGCTCTGCTGCCTGTGGATTGTGTTTGGTATCTCAAGAGGTAATTCTAGGATTGAGGAATGGCAGAGAAAGTGGACTGAAACATGAGGAGGCTTTGCTGTTTTTAAAAATGCCCAGCTGCCTGCATTGTTATTGAGATCCAAAGTGCCCCAATTTGAACTCTCATCAGATGAAAATTTTAAAAGATATTATGACTGGATATAGGGGAGAAGGAGAAAGACAGTGGCTCAGAGGGCAGCACAATATTTTTGCCTGGATCACTGGAATAAGCGCAAGGTACAGGAAGGAGGTGGCCTGAGAAATTTAGCTTTTTCCTATGAAACGTGGGCCATCTCCTTCAAAGAACCTCCTCCAGTTGTGTCTGGCAGATAACCAACCAATTCATTTCCAGGTTTAAACGGGTGGAGGGAACAGGACAGAAGTTTAAACCATCCCAAATAGGAGCAAGAAATTCAGGGTTCCCCAGTTTAATTGATGGAGCATAGATTGGAGGCTAAAAGGTATGGAATTTGCAAGGAAAGAGCTCCTCCTGGTGGCTATCCTGGAAAAATTCCCAATGAAGGGGAAGATTGATCCGAACAGGGGGTGCACAACACAGGGGATTCTGCAGAAGGCTTCTTATACTGCTACTTCCCGAGTCGCTTTCCACGTTATATAGCTATTTGTAAATTTTGTGCAGTGGCATTCTGCAGATAAGAGACTTGCAAGGCAACCGTCTTAGTCCATCTGCTGAGGGTTGGCTCTTTTGTCCTTTCCCTTTGCAGCTTCTGCAGTGGGCGGCTACAGGCACCAGCAGAAAGCGTGAGTGTTTGTGAACTAGCAAGACATCCCTGTGGATCGGAAGGCGAGGACTGGCCTGGGACAAAGGTATCAAGGACCCAGGATGAGGAGGGTCACTGTCCCGAGCCCTTTCAAGCTCCAACTACCCGCCCTGCTCTCTTTTGCAGCTGACTTACCTACAAATGCCCAAGATTTGGCTTGGTTACAGAAAACAGCCTCATTGGGACACTGGATCTTGCTAGAAAAAGCAATCCTTGGTCACCAACCTTTGTTTCCTTTCCTTGGTATTCCAGAGAAAGACTGGGAATTGAGTCCCACTTCCTTTACTGTTCTATTTATTTGTGTTCCGTGTTGAATAGGGGGGGGGGCAAGAAAGCAAAGGGCTCTTGGTTCCTTTCTCCCATACAAGTGGGAATATTTGCCTTCCAATTTGCATTCTGAATTTTCCTTCTGCTTCAAAAGCGATTGCAGTTTGATTGGAGGGGGAAGGAATTAGAAGCACAAGGCAGATCCAAAATGATTCCTTGGCTGTCGTCCAAAGCAATGGGCCAAGATCTCAGCTGGTTGAACACTGTTGTTATCTGAATTAGCCATATGTAATAGATTCCTGTTGCAGGGAATTCCACAGGCTGAGGGAGAGCTAATTGCAAAACTGCTGGCCATTTATATTTCCTGTTTTGTTTTATGCACCTTTTCTCTGGCCTTGGAAGAAAACAGTCAAGACAATGAGGATGCAAAACTTGTTTTCAGGCTGAGAGTCACCTGAACCTTTGAGTGGTGTGCCGGGATCCACATTCCAAGAAAAAGGTGGACCAGAACAAAGGGCTTGGCAAGGGTAGGACAGAATTATGTGACAGAATAAAATTAAGAGATATATTTACTGAGCAGTGAATATGCTTACTCCCTTTCTATTTATTGGTTGCATCAAAAATTACATTTGTTGGGGGGACGCAACCAAATGTTTGGGGAGGTAAAGGGGGCCACCTCTGCCCTAGATACTAAGGAGCAGCAGAGACAATTACCTGGTAAACGGAGATAAAGATAGATGAAGGGCAAAGGAAGATGGCCAGAGGTCTTTAAGGGGTCAGTTTGGGAACAAAAAAATGTGCATTGTGCAAATGCAGACAGTGAGCATTACATGCGGCCCGATCCAGCTGTGACCCCTTGAATTGAACTGCGGCCCATGCAGAAGCCATGCTTGTCTGGAAATGTGAGATCGTTTGCCTCAAACCTGAGATCATCCAGTGAAATTGCATGTTAGATTCAGAAGACACAAAATGAAGCAGTTCTTCACACAAAGCGTTGGGCCCTTAGGGAAGTTGCTCCTAAACTGTGCTGGCCCTTTAAGGAATCAGCAGCTTGCAAGTTGCCAATGGAACTTTGAGCTAATCTGACCAGCTTATACAGCATTGCCAGCCAACCAGAGTTTAGGACCCTTTATTAAAGCAGTGAGCAAGCACTTGTTTTAAAAATACAGTATTATCATGACCATCCTGGGAGGTGTACTCCAGTCCATTTGGGGAGCTCCCAACTGGAGATGGTGATATGCAGGCAGAAGATCCCTACCGTAAGTCACCGCACCTTAGACAACTAGCACCTCAAGATAAAGTTCAGCTAGAATCCTGAAATGCTTGTTTTCTATGCATGTTTTGTTTAACTGTTTCATCATGTGAGCCTCCACCTGTAGTGAGAATTGAATTACCCCAGACAACAGTGAAATTTCTCAGAAGTAGGCAATGGGAAGGCAGTGTTTTTTTTTTTAAAGAGACAATCACAGTAATGCAAGTAACATTGTGGCTTGTTGCTCTTTATTTTTTTGAAATCTGAAAGTCTAAGAGGGCTTCATTCCTGCTTCAAGATGTGTGTGACGGTCACAGTAATCTTTATGTCAGAAACCATTTCGTTTTCTCCATAACTCTTTCAAGCATGGTTTTACTAATACAGTAGCCATTGTCTCCTCAGTTCCATTGTAATGTGCCTTTTGAAATAAGGTGAATTAAACAGAAAACAAATGAGACATATGAGTTAGAATATTTCCCCTTTGGGATATGGTCCCACCAAATGCAATGCCATGGCGTTCATGGTTGATTTTCAAGGAATGAGACTCTGGAACATTGTGATCCATTGACATGGGAATTTTGGAAACTGGGGAAAGAAAGAGGTTTCATTTCCTACAGGGTATTTGAGGGCACTCAGATCCTGTGTCGCGCCAGGAGAGATCAGGCCTACAGTAGCATTTAAACAGCCATGGGGTGGGAGGGAGGAACAACAGAGGTTTAAAAGGAGAGAAAAGAGCTGGTTAATCAGCTGACCAAAGTTACTAACCTATATTTTTTTAATTAGCTTGCTAAGAGATTGCCAGCCTAATGACTTTTATACAGTGAATGTAGAAGTCCAGTTAGAAATCTCCAAGTCTGAAAATAAAATTTAAAAAACACACGAAATATAATTCTACTGAGTGAGCTAGCAAAATTGGACAGATGAAGGAGCTTCGACAAACAAAACTGACTGGCAGAGAAGAGACAGATATCCATCCTTGGCTGGCGTGGAATTTCTTGTCAATTGGCAAATTGTTAAGTATGAAGCTGGAGAAAATGCAAGCTTTCTGGAATGGCCAAGAATCTTCAGTTTGTATTCACAGCTGCTGTCCTATCGAGTTAGGTGGGATTACCTCTAGGTAACTGGATAGAGGATTTCGTAATTGTGCAAAAAAGTTTGGGAAAGCTGGTTCGAATAGCTAGGCACAAGGGGAACTTCTCTATTAATGCAGGCTGCCTTTATTTTTTCACATCTTCCATTTCACTCACAAATTCAGGGCGCAAGCACGATTGATCAATGAAGACAATTAATCATAGAATAATTTTGGCTAGTAGGGAGATTGTTTTGGTCCTCAGGCCAGAATCATTCTATGTCAGAAGGTTTCTGCAGTCACCCATCAAGGACTACACCAAAATGCTTGTGGGCCAGCCATAAAAATGAGTGCTTCAACACTGATAAAGAAATACCTATACCTAGAACTCTTCTGGCATGTCAGCAATATGGCTAGCTTAGATGTCTTCTCTCTGAAAGTCTAAGAATTAAATGATCCTTAAAAAATATTAGAAATGAAGAAGTCAGGCCACTAGAGTGAAATCCGGCAACAACCAAGTATAGAAACATTCTATTAAAGATGGAAAAACGTTAATGCACATGCTCAGCTCTCTCTACTTCTACTGTAGTATTTATCTTTTTTTTTTTGAGTCAAAGAACATTTTCTTGATCAGCAATCAAGGTTCTTTTATTCACGGTGCCCTCCTAATCACATTTTTGAAACACATGACGGAAAATCCAAAGTGAGGTGTCCTTTGCTGAATTAGTTTGAGACAGCAGGCAATAACAATCAAACCATGTCACACACGAATAATCAAATTTGCACACATAAAGCCATCGAGCCGGAAAAGAATAGCCCACACCATCTCTGGCACAGATGTCAGAGTTTTATGTAGTCCCCCCAATACACCAGGACATCAGGTCACCTTTTTCTCCAGCAGGGAAACTTTGCTCAATTTTTTTTTCATTCCACTGTGGTACAATCTAAAAGGCCTGTGGCCCTTCTCAAAGCATAAATCGGCTCCGAGTGATCAAGAACAAGAGCAAGGCACAGAAGTGGCTGGGACTGGACACTCAAAATCACACCGCCATCCCCCGAACAAGCCACTATCATTCACTGGACCCAGAGGAACGCCCTGTTCATCCTGACCTGCCTTTCTTCCATCTCCTCTTCTTGTACAGATTCTCAATCTCTCCTTCAGATCTTTACCAGTAGGTCTTGGAGGTGGGAGTGGGCTTCTGTTGTTGCTGGAACTCTTTAGAAGCTCTTGCTAATGCCTCCCTGTAATCAAAGACAAATTGCATCTCTTGGCTGTTTCTCAGCAGTTTGTTATTCTTGTGGGCTTCATAGTGGAACTGAGAGTCTCTCATTTCGTACCTAAAATGGCAAGAAGGAAGGAGAGAAGGGCTTGACTCATACCACAGAGTGGCCTTGTTGGCACTCTGCTCCCAATGCTTTCCAATTCCAACTGAACCTTGCCCAAGGAATCCCCGGATTCAGACATTCAATATGCCCAAAATCTCATGGATCCACCAAATCTCATCCAATTTCCAGATGGCCCCATGAACCTGCTGAATCTACTCTCAACCCCTGATCCAAAGTGCCCATAGCCCTTTGGGGAGCACATCCTCACCATTTGGGTTTGGGGCCACGGGTCTGTTCCAATTCCTGCTGCCTCTTTAATTCCAGTAACCAGGCCTCTTCCACACGCAGGCGCTCGAGCTGGAGATGAGCCAGCTCTTTCTGGTATGGAGACATTTCAATCAGGTCTCTCCCCATGGTGCTTTCAGAAAGCGTCTGCAGGAATCTGAACCCCGAATAAAGAGGATAGTTAAATGTTCTGCAGCATTTCCAAAAGAGTCAATTGCTCTACAAAACGCTGTTCCTTGCACAACTTGGCTTATAGGAACATTTGTGCTTATTGCTTACGGACTGCAAAGGACTACAAGAAACTACTGTTATTGTCAGGCAGAAGATGACCTGGTAAAACATTTTCTGGCCTAATAAAGTATTTCTCAGGAGGTCGGCTTGCCTAAAAAGCTGGGAAAAGTCAAGAAATTCCAATATTTTTTGTTAAACAGTTTGGTAACTGAAGTTTCTACACACTACCCACATTATTATTTATTTAAATGTATTGACCGCCCAACTCGAGTGGACTCTCTTTAACTCCTGGAAGTTGATTTCTCTGATAATCTTTGAGATCAGTTGAGGCCCAACATAACACCTTTTTTTTATCATTCCATCCCAGGGAACTGTGCTTTTTCAGGGTATGATAGTTTTACTATGAAGCAAAACATTCCTCGCTGGTTCTCAATTCTGATTTCATAGTCAAGTGCGCTGTCTAGATCAGGAGGCCTAGACACCACTTTCTTCTTACCGTTCATTCATCTCCTGTGCTGTGGGTGAGGAGATGTCAGGGGAAGCCAAACTGTAAGGACTCCAAGATTCCCTTGGGCTCCCCTTCCCAATTGCTTTCGTGGAAGTCCAGGATCTTGACGCTAATGTTCCTGGCCTGAAGATCCTCAACCGCGATTGCCTACTTGATACACCTTTCTTTTTGACTCCCCTGGGCTTCCCCAGCTGAGGCGGAGGCTGGGCACAGGCATTTGCCTTGGCTGAGCTGGGTCTCCAGATAGGTCTTGGAGACTGAGACCGGGATCTGAGCCAGCGCGGACGTTTGGCATCTGGAGAGAAGGAGCAGGAGCGGGTAACCCCAGAATGATTAAGAGTCAGTGAACGGCCTCTGTGGAATGTGAAAGAGGCCCTTTCTGGCAAGCAAGCTCGGACTGGAATCTTGGGGGGCAGCAAAGACTTGACACCAATCACATGAGGGGCCCCAAGTTTCAATGGGAAAGCAGGATCTCCTGAGGGGGGAGAATTCTGACTCACAATCGCACTGCCAGGTAATCCTGAAGTTTGGCTCACTGGGGATGTGCTTAAGGTTGGAGTGCCCGTGTCCAGGTTCTCCCCTAATGGTCTCACAAGATGCTTTGGTTTCAGTAACCATTCCATCTCAGTGGGTGACCCTGATGGGTGCTCAGTGGGTAAGCCTGGTCGGTGCCATTTGGAACTTAAAGGAGTTGGGTCGGCCACATGTTCCAGAGCAGAAGTGTAATCTCGATCTGGATGGAAAGTTAAACTGGAGGCCAAGCTGTCCACCTGAACCTTCAGTTTTTGTAAGCTTTCCTCCAAGTCTTCAATGCTGTAGACCCCTGGCATAGAATGAGATGAGTAATCACCTAAGAGAAAGAAAACCTATGCAGTTAGAAGACCAAAAGCTGACTTCCCAAATACATGAACTAGCCCACAATGAATAGTACCAAATTTTAATCAAAGGGATAAAATAATTTTTATTCTTTGCTGTCTCACTTTTAAGGAAGACACATAACACTCTATGTTGATTTCATGTTCATTTGTACCATTCCCTCTCATTCCAAAACTGAGACAAATGTGGGTCTGGAGGCAGCCAAAATGACAGACAAGTGGGAGATATAAACTGTCAGCCCACCCAGGTAAACCAGACAGGAAACACGACCAGATGAGCTACTTCTACTTTACTGATAGGCTACATTAACAGAATCTTGCAAGTCTGAAAATACAAATTTCCTGCCATTCCTATTTACCACCTGAACAGTTAGGGTGGGTTCTTTCTACATTTCTTTCTTTGCCTGTTACTCAGTTGCGGGCAACTTCCCTTTTATCTGATCGTTCCCTAGACAGCATCTCTCCCCACATCATCTTCCAAGGTCCTTCTCACATTCCATTACATAAACAGACTTCTTTTGAGGGTGGGGGGCAGGAGTTCAAGATGTTCAGAAATACCAAGGAAAAAAAAGGGAAAAAAGCCCTAATAACCAGTTAGAATTAAACTACACAGCAGGTATTGAGAGTGAAATTGGTCAGCAGGGAGAGAATGAGGAAGGAACGAAAGATCCAAGAACCAAAATTCAGGATGAGGGAGCTGTGAAATATGGTATCCAGGTAGACAGCTTACCTGGCCAGAATTAGAAAGAGAGCTTCCGCACTGCTACATTTTTGAGGTTTAAATGATTCACGTTTATAGTCCAAAGGGGGCGATCGAAGCAGACAAAATGGTGAACACCATCTTGCTTAGTTTGAAACCATCCCTCACCCTGAAGATGCCACAGTTTGGCTCTCTTCAAGAGGCTGAGAGACAGCAGACCACTCAAAGTCACTCTGCACGCTCCCCGGAACCATGAGGCTTTGAACCTGGGTCGCCCCAGCACAGAACAACGATCGCAACTCTTACCCCACCATTGTTGGGGAGACATTGGTGGCAACTCTTACCATTTTCTTCCCCAACCAGGGATGGCTTTCTCTGCTCATCCCTGTGAAGAGCTGGGTGCCTTCTTAGGTTTGGAAAGTCGATGTTGTGGGTCTTGTTGGTTCTTTGGGTGTTGCTAAGGAGCTCCTTTGGGTCCTCTCTAGAAAAAGAAAGAAGAAAATGACATCACTTGAATGTTGGCTGTTAAAACTTAATCCAGAAATAACAACTGGCTCCATATATTTTTATCAACAACCCCATCCGTGTGGCTTTTTCCTTTCCTTTTCTCAGCTCGCCCCCAAAGACACGGCTGATTGGCCCTCTTTAAAAAAAAAATTGTGCTTGCAGCAACCGTGGTAGGACGGAGAATGGCTTTTTCTCTCCCACAAAGGTGACAAAGGCCCTGAGGGCAAGAAAACTGAGGCACGCAGTACAACAACCTTGTGAGACGGGCCACGTTGAAGATCTCCATGTCAGCCTGGATCCAAGAAAGACACAACTATTTATACTGAAGGGACTCAGAAATTCATACACAAATAAAATAAAATAAATTCATTAAAATACACTCCCTCCTTCTCAGGGAGGGAACTGCTAGGACTGCAACCTCCATCATTCCCAGACAGCATGGGTATGGTTGTGGAGGGGATGGGACTTGGAATTCAACCTCCCCCCCCCGCCCACAGAGCGAAAAGTGACCTGTGAGGGGCCTGCTCCCCCGCCCTCAGGGCCCTCCAAGTGTGTGGGGCTCCAATTCTTCAACGCCAGCATGGAGTTTCTTCAGAGGCTCCCCGGCGCTTTGCTCCCCTCCTTACCTGAGGGAGGCTCCGCGGCCTCGCACTCGCAAAGCTGCCGCCTCCGCCATGCGCGGCCTACACCTAGCATCGCCTTCATCCCCCTTAGCAACCGCTTCAACATTCCCGTTGCTACGGAGAAGGGCCGCCTCCGGACCCGCCTCGTGCGCTAGACGACTGCGACCGACTAAGATTGATCCTCCTCACTTACCATCCCTCGCCGAGTTTTTCTTCCTCCTCCCACCCTGAGTCCCCGCCCCTTCCTTTCGTGATCGCCAACCTCTCCAAGCACGTGACTGAGGTGGAGGGGGAAGAGGAAAAGGGAGGCTTTTTGATCAATGGCCGAGCCCGCCCTCTCTTGGCCGCGCGATTCTATGGCTCCGTTAACTCTCTGCCAATGAGCGCGCGGCGCAGAACGGAAGGGGTGGGGCGGCGCCTGCGCAGAGCCGGCGGCGCGGGGTCCACGTGTGTGTCCGGGAGGTTCGTTGCCCGCCGGTTGGGCTACCTCCGTAAGGATCATGTCGTGGCTCTTCGGGCTGAACCGCGGCGGTGGCGGCGGTGGGGCCGGCGGGGACGTGGGCCCGGGAGCCGGGCTTCCCCCGCTGCCTCCTCCGCCCGGCGGGGCACCGAAGG